GGTAGATGATAATGGTGAAGATGAGGTGCCTCTAGTACCTCAATGCCAAAGAAGAGGCCGCCAGACCAATGACAATATTCTAGACCCTCCCCCGCCTCCTCCACGAGTTGCTCCTCGGGTGCTTCCAAATGAAGGGTACGCAAGTGCAATTGTCCCACCTCGGATTTGGGCGGGCAATTTTCAAATTACAAATGTGATGTTGACTTTATTGGAGAAACGAGGATACTTCACAAGTGCTCCACATCATGCATCTAAACATCTAAAGGGCTTTGTGGATACATGTTGGGGAAGCAAACAGACAAATGTGTCGGAGGATGCACTGCGATTGAGATTGTTCCCTTTTTCACTTAGAGGGAAATCTTTGGACTGACTCGAAAGACTTCCCAACCATTCCAGCACTACATGGGATGAGTTGACCGACAAGTTTATAGCTAAGTTTTTCTCGCCGGGGCATATGGTGATATTGAGAGATGAAATTTTGGCCTTCAAACAAGAACCTAATGAACCACTACATGATATCTGGGAAAGGTATCAGACAATGGTAAAAGAATGTCCGAACAATGATATGACCGAAGCAATGATCCAACAAACATTCTACCATGGTATTAACATGACCAATCAGTATGTAGTGAACCAGCTAGCAGGGGAAAATTTTATGAACACAACTTATGTTGAGGTGTGTGAGATCTTGGATGAGATGGCAGATACTTCCTCAGCTTGGCAAATTTGAGCTAATGTGCCACAGGGTGATCCCACTGTCATTCACCTGCACAAATAGCTCCACGACCATGGCCAGGCAATAACAGAGTTAACTACAATAATGAACTAGTTGGCAAAAACTCAATTGCAGCAAGTTCAAGCGCCGAGATAAGTAAATGCTATGGAAGGTGTAAACATGTTGGTCAACAAGAGACGACAAAGAGGTCAACAAGGTCAAGGAAGTACGGATCAATATGAGCAAGGTCAAGTGGTTTCAACTAAGATGATAGGTATGATGAGCAAAGTGAAAAAGTCCAGTATGTGAACAATTACCAAGGACAAAGGGGCAATGCTCCTAACCAACAACAACAGTGAAGATCCCAAGGAAATTGGGAGAATCAAAACCAACAGGTAAATAACAACTGAGGGAACAACAATCAGAGTTGGGGCAACCAGAATGACCATGGCAACTGAAGTGGCAATAACAACAATTGGGGAGGAAACAACAACCAAGGGGGTTGGAATAATGGCAATCAAGGGAATCGCGGGCAAGGCTTTCAAAGACCTCCGATGTATCAACAACATTTCTGTCCCAAGGTCCTAGCTCGTCAAACAATAAGATAGGAAGGATAGAGATGATGTTTGAACAAATGATGAAAAAGAACGCCGACTCTGATGCCCAGTTGGTATCCCATAATACTTCAATCCAAAACTTGGAGGTTCAACTTGGCCAGATTTCGCAATCTTTGAATACTCGCCTTAAGGGGGCTCTACCTAGTGATACGGTAATGAACCCGAAGGGTAGGAACAATACCGGGCATGCAATGGTGGTGATCACAAGAATCGGTAGAGGTGGTGAAGTGAATACCTCCAAGCAAAAGGAAGTTGTGAGTGATGAGGTTGAAGTGCAAGATGATGATGTTCCTATAGTTGATGAGGAAGTCAGTGAAGAGAATTTGAATGCTGAAGTGAGAATTGATATTCATGATAATGAGG